CCTGAGATATTAAAAACCGGAGACTAGTTATTAGTTTATGACTTTGGGACATAACAGCAAGGTTCCAACCTTTCCCCAACTCCAGAACGTGACTCCAAAATGTTTTGAGTTCGAAGTGTCCAAGATTTTCATCTGCTTATGTTCTGGCGACACACAGGGTGATGCTGTGACTTAAACTTGTTCTGCTTCTCCTTGGGATTGTATCCCATATAGTTATCTCTAGAGCTACCTTTCTCAACAGTTTTTTACCCTGAGGAACACCTAAAATACACATGTCAAACACAAGGCCCCGTGGGATGGAATCAGCCCGCCAGGCCATTTTGTTCGAACCCACCCACCTCTCCTGCAGCTACTCTCCTTTACATCCCCCCCCCCTTCTCTAGTCTCTGCAGTTGACGGCAGAGAAAAGTACAGAAGTCCTACAGATCCTGCACCTCTCTGTGCAGCCTCAGCACCCCCTTGCCTGCTCCTCCCCTGGTCTCAGCATTTGTCAGACTCCTACTCTCCTCTGGTCTCTGCATTTGTCAGACTCCTGCCCTCCTCTGGTCCTCCTCCAGACTGTGCACTTTTGCTTCTCAGCTTTGCCCCCCAGCTTCTTCTTGCCAGCAGCACATGGTAAGGGGGGAGAGGCGCACTGTGATGTAAGGGATGGTGGGGGATCCTTGACTTCTGATGGTGGGGGGGCCCCTTGACTTCTGAAGGGGGGGGGTTCTTGACATCTGTGATGTAAGAGGATGGTGGGATGCTCTGGACATGGGGGGCAACCATAACGCTGATGTGGCCCACAATGAAATTGAGTTCAACACCCATACCTTAAAATGATTGACTGTGGACTATGGGGAACCCTTACTAAAACCAGTTTATTGGGGGTCAGAAAGAATGCCCCCCTTGCAGCAATGGTCTGAATGCCACTCTTACGGAGGGCTAAAGATTTGTCATGCTGCTTGTTTTCCCAAGTGGCGTTGGCCTGGAGCTGTACCATCAGATGGGATGTCCATCAGCCACAGCTCAAAGAACCCCTAGCAACTGTATGGCTCCACGGAACCTTGGTTGAAAATGGCTACCCGAGAGAAACCACAAGGTTCCTGTGATACGGTTGCTGGCCCCGGTGGCTGCCTGATATGCTACCTTCATCAAAGTGTCTCAAATAAACCCTTTGCATTAGCTATACGACTCAAGATTTCAATCTCTGGTTTGTCATTTTACAGGGCAGGTTTGAATCGGATTGGTAGATCTGAGGCAGGGATGGTCAACCTGTGGCCCTCGGAGCCCTCTGATGTGGCCCTCCACCTCCAACCAGGGGAATTCATGCCCAGGGTTGGCAACCTGTTGATCTTGAACTGGGCATGATGATCCACCATCCCAGAGCATCAGAATGCATCAAGCTGGTGACTGCAGCAGAGGAAGCAGGCAGCTGCAGAGAGAGCAGAAGCCGCATAACACAATGCTTCCTCTGTAGCTAAATGAGATGAATAAAGTGAGCGCTCTAGATCAGCAGCTGAAACACTAAAGGTAAACCTTCAAATATACAAAAATATTTAAAGTGCAGCGCTAATATACGTGGATAAAAGGTATATTAAAATGTACAGGACATCCAATATATAATAGATCAGAAAGTTCATGTAATATATTAAATGGATGATCCTCTCAGCAGCAGATTTCTAACAAGCTTGTGACTGCAACCAATGATAAAAACTCACCGGAAGCGCATAGGTAATGCGCACGTAATTTATAGCCACCAGGATCTCTTAAGTAGGCGGAATATATAGGTGAGCTTCCTTCTATGGATTGGTCATCAAGTCTTGGGATAGTGTGGAAATCTGCTAGGTCCCCTTAAGGATGGATGGGTGCTCAGCCTAGATACAGGGCTCCCTTCCTCTGGATGTTGAAATTCAATGTAGGTAATCTGCAAGTTTTAAGCTCCTCCACTTCTATAACACCAACCCTGGTGGCAACGTCTCCCAACGTCACTGGTCGTGCGCCATAGTGCCAATAGAGTGAGTGAGCGGGCGGGCGGGCGGGCCTGGAACAGACACTGCTTGTGCGTGCTGCATGCACAAGCAGCATCTGTTCCAGGCCCCGCCCACTCACTCTATTGGCACTATGGCGCACGACCAGTGACGTTGGGAGACGTTGCCACCAGGGTTGGCGTTCTAGAAGTGGAGGAGCTTAAAACTTGCAGATTACCTACATTGAATTTCAACATCCAGAGGAAGGGAGCCCTGTATCCAGGCTGAGCACCCATCCATCCTTAAGGGGACCTCTGGACCTAGCAGATTTCCACACTATCCCAAGACTTGATGACCAATCCATAGAAGGAAGCTCACATATATTCCGCCTACTTGAGAGATCCTGGTGGTTGTAAATTACATGCGAATTACCTATGTGCTTCCGGTGAGTGCGCAATTTTATCATTGGTTCCAGTCACAAGCTTGTTAGAAATCTGCTGATCATCCATTTATTATATTACATGAACTTTTTGATCTATTATATATTGGATGTACATATTAATATACCTTTTTATCCACGTATATTTATTAGTGCTGCACTTTTATATATATTTTGTCTTCCTCTGTAGCACTGACTCCTGTCCCAGGCAGAGTGATATCAAGTGCACTTCACCTGGTACCTTTCTAGCAGCCAGAAGATGAAGAGAGATTCAAGCAGAAGCTGAAAGGGGAAAAGAAGATCAGTATAATAAGCAATATATACACTGGGTATAACAGCTTTTGCGATGGGCATATTAGCACTTATAAAAGGGTTAACTATTAGGCTGCTTTCAGACTGATCTAGGGGTGCAGCGCAGTGCACTTGCGGCTTTCCTGCGGAGTAGCTGCACTGAGCCATAGATTTCTATTATATCGTGAAGCTTTGGTGCACTTTCTGAAAATGCTTCAAAATTCCTGCGCTTTCAGAAAGTGCATCTCACCCACAGGATTTAAGTCTATGGCAAAGTGCAACTAACCCTCAGGAAGAGCCGCAGGTGCATTGCGCTGCACCTGCAGATTAGTGTGAAAGCAGCCTTATAGAGGGCGCAGGACAGTAAGGGTTGTTTACATTTGCAGTTTGTGAGCGGTAAAACCCCATAGTTGAGACGTGTTTTACCCACCCTCAGCCAGCCTCCCTGTCAGATTCTGTTTCCCACTTGAACAAGAGGGAAAGCATATACTGTACAGGAACTGATCCTCCATTTTTCTCCTGCAACGCAGAAAGCTGGCTTCTCCCCTACTCCCTCCCATCAGCACTGAAAATGTTCGTTATGCTATTCAAAATTAAAAATGTTTAAATTATGAACCATTTCATTTCATGGTGGCCCTCAACTGGTTATCAAATCACTTAAGTGGTTCTCACAAGAGTGGGGGGTGAAAGATCATGTGAAGCTGGGAACACAATCTTTCACTTTCCATAGTACCAGCGACACCTAGTGTACATACATTTCATAGCTAGGCACACACTTAACCCCTTGATTTCCCTACATCTTAACCCCTTCCCAACCAGTGTCATTAGTACAGCGATCAGTGCATATTTGTAGCGCTGATCACTGTATTAGTGTCACTGGTTCCCACAAAGTGCCAGTTAGTGTAAAAATGTCCGCCCCCAATATCGCAGTCCCGCTATAAGTTGCTGATCGCTGCCATTACTAGTATAAAAAAAAAAATTCTAGTGTGTGTATGTATATGTGTGTATGTATGTGTATGTATATATGTATATGAGTGTGTGTGTGTGTGTGTGTGTGTGTGTGTGTGTGTGTGTATATATATATATATATATTATATATATATGCCATTTATGTAGACTATAACTTTTGCACATATTAATCAGTATATGCTTATTGGGTATTTTTGTTTCACAAAACTATATGTAGCAAAATACATTTTGGCATAAATTTATGAAGAACTGTTGACTTTTTAAATTTTTTTATTGGATGTGTTTTTTATAGCAGAAAATAAAAAATTTTTTTTTTTTTTTTTTTTTTTTTTTTTTAAATTGTCTGTCTTTTTTTTTTTGTTTAAAGTGCAAAAAGTAAATAACTCAGAGGTGATTAAATACCACCAAAAGAAAGCTCTATTTGTGAGGGGGAAAAAAAGAACACAAATTGTATTTATGTACAGCGTTGCATAACCGCACAATTGTCAGTTAAAGTAATGCAGTGCCGTATCGCAAAAATGGCCTGGTCGGGAAGGGGGTAAATCTTCCGGTGTTCAAGTGTTTAAAAAAAAGTGCGTTTTTGTTACATTTAATTGTCTGAGTGCGCGAGAAAAATCATTGTTGCAAGACAATGTTCACGAAAACAAACAACTTGTTTGTCCTTTAAAAAAAAATTAAATGTATGTTGTGTTTTACGTTTTTATCTTGCGTAATGACAAAATGATCACTGAATAAACGGGCCCATAACAGAAATTTAAAAATTGCTCTGCTCCATAGAGGATGAACAAGTGTAGGAGATGACGTGGTTAAAGTGATCATGTCAGGTGGAAAAGAAAATCCAAATGTAGCATCTCTATAAAAGCGGTTTTACACTCCCCCTCCCTAGTGGTCCTGGCATCTTCCACACAGTTTCAGAGAGAGAGATCCAAAAATGCGCCTGTAACAAAAGCGCATTTGTGTTCAAGTAGATCTGCAGGTGATTTGCACTGCAGCTGCTCACTAGAAAACTGAATAAATTTTGCACCGTATATGTCTGAACCTATCCTTTGGGCCAAACCATGACTGCAGCCAATGAGCTGCAGTCAATGTTTGGGTATCCTGACAGCTGTGGGTGCCAGCTGTCACAATATAATCGACATTAGGGAGATTCCTCCTTTGAGCTGTATCGTGTGGATGGGGGTATCTGTTAGATTTCTTTCATTCTGGATAATCTTTAAAGATCTGCATATAATACTTGGCTTCATAGAAAAGTCAGAATAAACATTTAAGTTAACTAATGTTTTTAAATCCTGTCACTGTAGAGTTGGGTATTCATTATTTTTTGCGTTGCTTTATTGCTTTTCTCTGTCCAGGTGGAGACGTGTAAAAAGAAGTACCATGGAGTTCGGAAGGATGAGCGCGCAGCACAAGTACGGGAGGATCACGCAAAGGCAGATGCATCGGTGTCACAGGAACAGCTTCGTAAACTACAGGAGCGTTTGGAGAGATGTAACCAGGAAGCAGAAAAGGTTAGAGGCAGGGGCGGGCTGACAACTCATGGGGCCCCGGGCAATAGGAGATCATGGGGCCCCCGTGTCCTTGCCCACACCCAAAAAAGCCTATAAAAAGGTACCAGGGGCATTTCATGGGGCCCCCTACTGACCCCGGGCCCTCGGGCAGTGCCTGAATGCTCAAATGGTCAGTCTGCCCCTGGTTAGAAGAGAGCACAATTAATAGGATTTAGGAAAATAGCATATCAAATGTGTTTTTGTAAAGCTTTTTTTTTTTTTTAGTTTTATGCAAACAAATTCATTCATTCACTTCCCTAACCTGTGACTGGAAAGTGAAAGGAGAAATGACAGATGAGTTTGCACAACTGATTGGATCCTTGTGATGCTTCTACCTCCCCAATTTTGAGCTCTATACATTGAAAGTAGAACTATAGGCAATGTTTTTTCTTTTTTTTTTTTGGGTAGAGTAAAGGAGGTTTATAAAACCTGTGATGTCTTTTTCTCGTTGGGGGAGATTACCTTCACTTCCTGTCCCATAGCCAAGGTAATCCCTACAAATTAAGGCAATCCCTTAGGGACCCTCCAGGGCACCAAAAGAAGTGTCCCTGTGATGGAATGCCTGGCACCCCGCCTGGGTGCTTCCATCAGAGAACTGCTTCCTCATCGCTGGAACATTAGAACTAGATAACACTAGCTTAGGTGCAACTGGAACTCTTTATTGAGCAAAAATACAGAATTTTATACACGTAAAAAATAGGGGCAGTCCTCACATGAACAATAAAAACAATCATTGCACATTGGGATAAACCTCTCACACTAATTAGATAAGGATGTAAAGTTGACTCAAAATTAACCCATCCTGTTGGAACCTCCAGGAGAACTAGCCAACAGACAGAAACAATAGGTGACTCAACTCGATTAACAATGGGAGAAAGACACCATAAACACATCACACCTTGATAATCAGATTACAGCAAGAGACTTAAGTGCCAGGTTGTTTTGAGAGCTGATTATATTAACAGCTGTTTATAGTCTGGGAGGGGGGGGTTGAAGCAGTCAATGCTGGTTTGGGCACAGAGACCCCAAATCTGTGACCAGGTCCTCCAGTTCTGTGTGTTTCAGGGAGACCTGGACTTGAATCCTAAGTAAAACTACTCCAAAGGTCCCCCCAGGCACACACATCTCCCAAAGTATAGAGCCCTTTCATATGTTTGGGCTCATGGTCAGTAGGCAAGAGGCTGGCCTGCGGTCCCCTCCAAGAGCCACTGTTCCGGTTCAGTCTGTCGCAGTCCTTATTGGAAGATTTCCCCTGTATTACATTTCTGAGGACAACCCAAAGTTTGGTATTGTCTTTTACATTCACTTTCAAGGATAATGTCAAACAGGACAAATAGGGTGAATCTCCCTAATGGGGACACACAATAATAATCCATCTCCACTCTGTCCAAACAAAAAAAAAAGCTTTGCCTTAGATATACTTTAATGAGGCAACAATAAATTACAGAGCTACGTTAATCTGTCTCTTTTTTTGTTTTAATATATATCTGCCTCGGGTACTGAGAGAAAAATATTTACTGCAATTGCTGACCTCCTTCTGTAAATGCTCATTACTGGCTTGTTTCTCGCTTAAAGTGGTTCTAAAGGTTTAAGGTTTTTTACCTTCATGCATTTCATGCATGAAGATAAAAATCCTTCTGTGTTCAGCACTGATTAACAATGGGAGAAAGAGACACCGTAAACACATCACAAGGTAAAAATCCTTCTGTGTTTTAGTATCACCCCCCCCCCCCCCCCCAATATTCCCCTAAGCCCCCTCTCCATCCAGCAATGTGCACTGGAGTCTCTGCTATCCTGGGACTCCCCCTTCTCACTGGATGAGACAGAAGCGGGGGCCATTCTCCCACTGCTGTCAATCACTGCCAGTGAGCCAATGAGGAGAGAGGGCGGGCCCGAGCCGTAGCTCCATGTGTGAATGGACACACGGAGCAGCAGGTGCCCCTATAGGATCCTGGCTGCTGTATAAAAGCACTGTAAACAGCAGTTAGTATAAACATGTTTGTTGTTGTTTTTTTTTTTTTTTTTTCTTTAAAAAAAATAAACCTATAAAATCACTTTGAATTGAATTAAAATTTCCTGATTTGAATACTAGTCCTAGGTTACTGACACACATACTGGAAACAATGGATCAACATGGAAGTCGAGTAATTACCATTTTTAGGAGAGGAGGTCAGGAATGGAATGCATAGGTGTCATAGTAGCGGCAATGCATGCAAACATGCTCTTCTTGTATTACAATAGCTCTCTCTCGTTCGAGAGGTCCACTTAAACTTTGTATGTATTATACACACGCATAATACATACATACATACACGTATGTATGTATTATCTGTGTGTAAGTATCTATCTGTGTGTGTGTGTGTATACAGTGTGTATGTATGTATATAATATATATTATTTTTTTATTTATTTTTTTTTCTATACACAGTTTATACATTTTTATTTATGTATTTTTCAGGACAAAACTGCGTATGAGAAGGCTCTGGATGAGTTGAACAGATACAACCCTCGCTATATGGAGGACATGGAACAACAGTTTGAGAGCTGCCAGGAGGCTGAACAGAAGCGCCTCCGTTTCTTTAAGGAGATGTTGTTGGACTTTCACAAGCATCTCGATCTCTCCAGTAAGGACAGGTAAAAAAGAATTGGCATATCTATATGGCTGCTACTGATGGTCACAAACGTTTTCAGAAGAACAGAGCTTAGTTTATAATAGAGGTGCCCCCCACTCCCATATGCAGCGGAGCTTTTGCTACGGTCTGCAGACGCTTGCTAGGATTGGGCTGGATTTGGATCATCGGGTTTACTTGTTCTCTGATCACGTTTACCAACAACGAAGTCTATTCTCCACCTGGATCACATCCATCATGCTTTTTTCTTTTTTCCTGTTTCCCTTCCTGCAGCTTCCATGCTTTGTACAAAGACTTGCACCAAAATATCCAATCCGCTGATGACCAGCAAGATCTAAAATGGTGGAAAAACACCCATGGACCAGGCATGGCCATGAACTGGCCCCAGTTTGAGGTATGTACCGCAGTTGGTGAAATGAATCGTCACATTTTTCTTGGATTTTGCTGTTTAATACCAATATGCTTTTTGGCAGGACCAAACTGTAAAACTCTTTGCAGCGTTCTTTTTATTAATGTTATGATAGGGGATGTTCCATCAGGGCTTTTCTTTGTAGAGACTTTGCCGGTTTGCAGCCATAATAACATGATGCTGAAAATTGGGAAGCTGGGTGGGGAAGCTTGTCACACCATTGTATGATTTGTTCTTAAAGTGTTACTAAACCCAGGAGCCTGCATTCACTAGATCTGGTTCTCCACAGTACACAGAACATAGAAATGCAATTATTTAAGTAAATAGAAACTGCTAAACCTCTTTTCTCATCAGTAGTTAGAGCAGTCCTGTGACGTCTATCAGTGTCTGGTAGAGCACTGGTTAAAGCTTGTAGGAGGTGTTTTCATTCTCCCCTTATTGTCCTATGAGGCTGCACAACCCTTGACCCTCTGTCTGGACAGCGCTAATTGGCCCGGTGCTGATCACATGCTCTCTCCTAAGGAAAAAAAAAAAAACCTCTCTAGTAATACACACCAAACTGAGTATGTGCAGCTTGCCACCAAGGCTCTGTTCTATCAGCAGATAGATTGTGGACAGTAGAAGGTGGGGATCAGAGAAGACAGGATCAAGCATTCTTTTTTACAGAATGCTGAGGATTAACCCCTTAGGTTCCACAGTGTGTATATATACTTTACTGCATATACAGACTGATTTTACTGTTGTTGATTTAGTAACACTTTAATATCAGTGTGACTGCATAAAATCTACAGTTGACATGACAGTGAAACACAGCTGATTGGCCAGCTGAACAGAAGTCATCCAATCCTTTCAGCTGGGATCATGAGACCACTGGGGAATTTGGCCAATTGACTAAAATCTGCTGCTACTTCTCTAAATATATTTTAGATGAAAAGTGGTAAAGCCTTACAAGGGTATGATTCTCTATTGCAGGGGTGTGAAACTATGGCCCTCCAGGTGTTGAGGAACTACAAGTCCCATGAGGCCTTGCAAGACTCTGACATCCACAGGCAAGACACCCAGAGAGCATGATGGGACTTTTAGTATTTCAAAAGCTGGAGGGGCCATAGTTTGGACACCCCTGCTCTATTGAATACCCATAACAGGTGTATGGCATTTACAGTTGTGACCAAAATTATTCAACCCCCAATGCTGTAAAGGGGTTTAGGGACTATAGTGTACATTTGGAATTGTATTCAGAATCAAATCCTACAAGGACGTTGTAACTACCCAAATGCAACTAAAATGACATCAATTGTTTATGTAATACAGTAGTAAATGGTTCTTATGTGGTTTCTTCATTGCCACAATTATTCAACCCTTAAAGACTACCACTCTGAAGAACAGAGGTTCATACAGGTGCTTTCCATCAGGTATTGAAAACACCTGTGGATGTCACCGAGCAGCAATCAAGCATAATAAGCACCAATTAGGCAGCTTTAAAATGACTGTGATACTCAGCTCCTTCTAGACATTTACTGGTGTGGTTACAAACATGGTGAAGGCAAGAGAATGGTCCAGGAAGACAAGAGAAGAGGTGATTTCTCTTCACAGGAAGGGCAATGGCTATAAGAAGATTGCAAAGATGTTAAACATACCAAGAGACACCTTAGGAAGCATCATTCGCAAATTCAAGGCAAAGGGCACTGTTGAAACGCTACCTGGTCGTGGCAGAAAGAAGATGCTGACTTCGACTGCTGTGCGCTACCTGAAGCGTAGAGTGGAGAGAAGTCCCCGTGTGACTGCTGAGGAACTGAGAAAAGATTTGTCAGATGTGGGTACAGAAGTTTCAGCCCAGACAATAAGACGCACACTGCGTAATGAAGGCCTCCGTGCCAGAACTCCCAGGCGTACCCCCTTGCTGTCTCCAAAGAATAAGAAGAGTCGACTGCAGTATGCCAAAAGCCATGTGGACAAACCACAAAAGTTGTGGGATAGTGTTCTGTGGACTGATGAAACAAAATTAGAACTGTTTGGGCCCATGGATCAACGCTATGTTTGGAGGAGGAAGAACAAGGCCTTTGATGAAAAGAACACCTTGCCTACTGTGAAGCATGGTGGAGGGTCAATCATGCTTTGGGGCTGTTTTGCTTCTGCAGGTACAGGGAAGCTTCAGCGTGTGCAAGGTACCATGAATTCTCTTCAGTACCAGGAGATATTGGATGGAAACGTGATGCAGTCCGTCACACACCTGAGGCTTGGGAGACGTTGGACCTTTCAACAGGACAATGATCCCAAGCATACCTCCAAGTCCACTAGAGCATGGTTGCAGAGGAAAGGCTGGAACATTTTGGAGTGGCCATCGCAGTCACCAGACTTAAATCCGATTGAGAACCTCTGGTGGGACTTAAAGAAAGCAGTTGCAGTGCGCAAGCCTAAGAATGTGACTGAACTGGAGGCCTTTGCCATGAAGAATGGGCGAAGATACCCGTAGATCGCTCGCTGCAAGACACTTGTGTCAAGCTATGCTTCACGTTTAAAAGCTGTTATAACTGTAAAAGGATGCTGTACTAAGTACTAAGATTGAATGTCACTTGGGGGTTGAATAAAACTGATAATGCTGTGAGCACAGAAAAGACATTTGTGGTTATTTCATTATAACTGTTATGTTATATTTGTTGACCTACAAGTGCCTCTTTAATGTAAATGTAAGCAAGATGACTGAATGATCAAAAGCAATGTCAAAACTGGCCAAAACACTCAATTTCAGTGGGGGTTGAATAATTTTGGTCACAACGCTTGAAGGCCTCCTACCTTCTGTGCCCAAAGTACCACTCCTGCTAGATGGCCTTACTTACACGGAGCATTTTCACGTATGTTGGTCCTAACCTAGCTTGGCATATTCTGTACCTAGCTTTTTGTCAAAGTGATGCCCAGTTTACCATCTTTTTTTTTTGTTCTTTGCTTGCTACAGTGTGTACCTAAATCTGAACTCTGGAAATACAAATGCTCATTTAGTCTAGGGGTTTCAGCTATGCGTTGATTATACTTACTCTACCCTTGGGGTCCAGCCCCAGTGCTGTTCCTCTTTGCCCAAAGCTGTCAGGTGGGTTATCCTTGACGTCATCGCGTACAATGCAGGGCTATTAACCCTGCATTGTACATGGCAAAGGTGAGCCTTTAACTGCAGGTGAGAGCACCTTAGAGAGCCCACAGTGCTGGACCAGACACATTAATGAAGGAATAGGAAATGTTTTGGAAGTCAGGAATAGGAGCAAATCTTGCACCTCATTCCTCTATTACTAGACTAAATAACCATTTATGCCTTGCAGTGTTGGATAGGGGGGGGGGGGGGCTTAAAGCAGAACTTTACCCATAACAACCGGACAAAAAATGTTCTTTAGCAAGGAGCATACATTCCACTTTAGTCATTTTGCTGCCACAATTAGTGCATGATGTAAATTGCCTCCAGCATTGCTCCGGTTTCTTCTTGCTGGAGGCTTCCATTTTTGCTGAAGCCCAGAGCAGCAGTAAATCTTTAGACTGTTAGCAGATCGGCCTCTATAAATTCAGCACAGTGCCGAAAAAAATACTAAGCAGGGTGTGACAATGTATTACTGGATTTTTAAAAAGATACGCACTTTCTTTTTAATAGTTTACCTAGCTATACCTGCAAAAGGGGCCAGTCTGAAGTGATGTAGCGGGACTTCAATTTTCTGACCAAAGCTGGGGGACAAAAAAAAGAACATAACAATGGTGGGAAAAGCCACCCCTTTGACCTTCCACATGTAGGCATTGGTCTACTGTGCCTAATGGTAGGTCCTGCCTTGTCCAAGCACATGCATCTTGTAGGAGTGTGGTAGGGACATTAAACTGTGTAAGGTAATTTTGGGGTACAAACTGATTTGACCGACTAGGTTCGCACCTATGCAGGTTGCGTTTGAGCCGTTTCTACATTGCTTTTTGCTTTGCCGTGTTTTTGATGTGTTTTTTTTTTTTTTTTTCTTGTTGCTAGGCAGATTTAAAACACAAAATGAAAAACGCAATACATGCTTTTCTACAGCTTTTCCATTGAAGTCTATAGAACCAAAAATACAACTTTTTGCATTCAAAAAGTCCCTGACCCTTTCCAAAAACACACCGGGTGAAAACACGCAGATGTCAACATGTCCCATAGGAAATCATGTTAAATGAACTGTACTGCGTTTCTGCAAACCACGGCAAAAACCGCTTGGGTGTGAACCTGGGGTCAAGTACAGAGAAATATGTTAAAAGGAAATAAGTGCAGTGTTTTGAATAGTAAATCCCTTAAACCTTGACAAAAGGTATTTTTTTCCTTTAGCCAGTAACTGTAATACTATAATGTTCGATTCTTGTACTCAAAAAAAAAAAATACCATAAGCCATTACAGATAAATGCAGAGATAAACATCCTCCATTGCTTCCTGTGTTAAACTCCGCACTGGGGGCCCCTGAGAACTCCAACGTGGGCTGAGGCAATAGAACCTTTTTCATCTAGTCAACAGAGGAATCTCTTGCATTTACAACTACCCCTCCACCCACAATAATACCCTTGATATTCTTGCTATTCTGTAAATAGCAAAAGTGAAATTTCTTATGTTATAGCGTGCACGCTCAAGTTTTTTGTTTTAGTTTATCTACGCTGTCTGTTGCAATTATTCAGGAAGAACAAGTTCATCATTATGCTGACACCCTAGAGGCCTTAAATGTTCAACACTAGCTTTGTTAGCAAGCGTTTGTGAAAGCGTTTTGAGACCCCTACCCGCTCCTCAACGTACGCCCTTACGCTATGTTACCTCCCCATTTCTACTCTTAACCACAAGGGCAGCACACAGTTCTGTTCACACTGAAGTGTCAGCGTCACAGCAAAATCGACGCTGACTTGCCTTGTAACCATCTTCATGGAGGACCCTGCCATTAACAGGCGAGCTTAAGTGTAGTTCTGAAACTCAAGTGACCCGCCATAGCACAGACATAACGGGCCTAGGGAGAAAAAAGTCTGCCCCCCCAGAGTTCCCATCTAAATCGAAACCATATCGCGCGTCGTTTAAAGGACATATTTATAAATTGGGCAGCCAACGCCTGTGCGTAACTAGTGAGTGGTTGTATGTCATTGAGTTTAAGCAACTTTTCCACACTGGGCAGTACTAGGTGTCACGACTCTGGGTTCACGAAATCCCATACCCGGCACCCATATCCCAGCCTGGATTTAACCTATAATCATGTTTCCCCTCCACCTCCTCGTGAGATGTACATCTGTCGTTAAGCGATACCTGCGCAGTGAGGTTATCCTTGGGCTACCTCCGAGCTCTGGTTCCCATTCCTGGTTTTTCTTCCATATACATCCAAGAGCCATGCTAGGTAGGTTAATTGGTATCCCATGTTTAAACTTGTCCACCATTATAAGTGTCCCCTATATGGCTTGCAATTTCAATAACTTCTCTGGTATCACTGTCTCAAAATATAACTTTTACGCTCTATACTATATTCATATCGGGCTACAGTGTTGACAGAATGGCGCCACCATTGTCATTCAAAAACGTGTGGGATAGTGCTGAAAGCTGAAAACTTGGCCCCACCCCTCAGCTGGACAGGAAGGGGAGGTGTAAAGTGTCCGGGACTTGAAGTGGTTTACTTATAAAATAAATAATCTTAAAACTGCTTTTTATTCCCTCCAAATTCTGTACTGATAGGACACACTGGGTACACAGAAGTTTCTTGGTACTTACTTGTGTTTTCGGTTACAGGAGTGGTCTCCAGAGACGCAGAGGCCAATCAGCAAGAAGGAGCGTACCAGTAAAAATGTCGAAGAGGTGACACTCACTGGCATTGTGCCAGCTAAGGATGGAGTCTCTGCCGGGACCCCCACCCAGCAGCTGAACAGAGGGTAAGAGGTGATCTTTGATTCCTCATTTCATCTAAGGGTAAATATAAGGATTTTGGAAATCCTGCCATATCAACAAAGGGGGGGGGGTCGGAGTAACTTGAGTTTTTGACACCAGGATTGCTGTACTGAGGCTGTTTTTCTTGTAAGGTAGGTATGCTTTTATGGGATTAATTTAGTATTCGACAAAAGGATAAGGTAGAACTTTGGGGGGAAAACCTTTTATTTTTTTTTTTTTTTTTTTTTTCAAAAGGATTGAGGAGGGGATGATTATAACCCCTGTCAGTTTCCCCATTGGGTAGATTTTCCTTTGCTTCCTGTTCCATAGTGGGAAATGAGAGGAAATCGCTCCAAAGTGAGGGGAATCCCTTGTTTGTAACAGAACTGGTGTCCCCATTGGAGGATTTCCCCTCTGTGTCTGTTCTTGTGACAACTCAAAATGTGGGATTTTTTTGTCATTTGATGAAAACCAGAAATAAGACAAAAACGGTGAATCTTCCTAACACAGACACAAACAACAACAAAAAATACCCTACAGATGTTGTAATCCCTCTCTATTTTATCCAAAACATGAAAAAAAATTGACCTGCAGGAAAATTGCAAAACAAACAATTGAAATGCACATTTGTGACTTTTTTTTTTTCTTTTCAAATGATGTGTAATTCTGTTCAGCCACTTTTGTGATTGATATGATTGATAGACCAGACAGACAGGCAGAACGGCGATACCACTTTCTCAGAAGAATACTTGGGTGTCACTTTCCTGCCTACTGATAGGACAATGAAGGAACAGTAACACTGATAAGTCAGAAATTGTGCAATCTCCTCCTGATAGGACAATGAAGCAGCAGTAACAATAAGTCAGCAACTGTGCACTCTCCTTCTGTCAGCGTCTTCCCTGCCATCCCGTGTGCACTGCAGTTGGCTCTTACTGCTGTCTTCCTTTAACGGTGTAAGTGCTGCTGTGTAGGGAAAGGCAGGGACATTACGGGTTCATGTACTCGGGACATTTGGGAAAACTCTTCTGAACGATTGAAACTGACTGCTGGAAAACGTAGGTTATAAAATTGTCTTTTTAGCCATGTTTGCATACCGCGTTTATGAGCGTTTGCGTTTTTAGAAAGCATTTTTTTAAGTTAACCTCAGGAGACCTTCCAAAATGCACAGAATGCACTGAAAAACAGTAAAAAAAAAACTATTTCAGACATTTTGAGAGAAATAGAGCAGAAGCAGAGAGGGCAGTATGTGTTGAGATGACCTGTCTTTTCTGGTTGTATTCACTATGGATCCACTCATGAGCATAATGTGGCACGTTTACCATTTTGTCCTTCACGCAAAACCAGGAACTGATTGCAGTGGTGTTTCCGGGTCCATTTGAATACATGGAAAACACTTTGCATGCATTTCTGATGATGAAAAAAGGTTCTGGACAGCATCAGGATATGGAACAGCCTTAAAAAAAACGCTTATAAACGCGGTTATCCGCATTTACAAGCGTTTGGCGTTTGAAACGCTGATAAAATCTACTCCTGAACGCAAGTTTGGTGCGTTAAAAAAAAAAAACACTGTAAACTCAACTGCCTGTAAATGACTGTAAAGGGCAATGTGTACATGGGCACATAGGAAAACATTAGGGACAGTTCAGGGGCTGCTGGAAAAAACGCAGAGAATCTCCTGAACATCAGTTTATCCAGCTGCAGTGTACATGAGCCCAAAGACAAATTGATGTCATTTTATATAATTGTGTTCTATAAAACTAGAGCAATTTAACATCTACTAGAGTTTATTTTAAATGTTAAGTTATGTTTGGGGTTAAAGCTCAATGGGTAAGTGCATTTTAAGAATAAATCAGGTTGGGGGGTCAGTTGGGGAATTTTTTATTAACTTCCTGACCATGAATAAGAGTAATACCATGTATTAACATAAGTTTCAGGTAAGGGGTTGGTGTTTAAAATCTAAATACGAACTTCTGCAGGCAAAGAATATTATAGAAGTCTCCTGTTTTGTGGGAAATTCAAGAACCAAAGTTTGGTGGCTTCAGAAGACCCCAGACACTTTCCAGTATGCTGGATGCATTGCAACCCTGCAGTGCGCTGTGGTTCCTTTCCCTGACCTTTATGTCGCTACTGTGTCCCGTAATGAGTTGGGGCCAGTGGGAGGAACCATGGCTGACAGCTGCAGCAGTCATGTGGGCCCCAGCAGAGGGTGACTTTAAGGTACAGTCAGCCAGCCATTGGCTCTTCCTCAATACAGAGCGTTCCCTTCATCTGGAGTGATTTGGTGTGTAACTTTTTTTTTTTTTTTTTATTTTAATAGAATATCCTGCCAGAAACCAACAGTTGCCTTAGCTTGACAGTCTTAGATGTCATTCAGCACCTCCAAACATTGTTGTGACCCCAAACTCTCCAACATCCCATAGTCTAATGTAGCCTTTCCCAACCTTTTCAATGCAGAGGAACCCTTGACATAACTTTCCGATCTCAGGGAACCTCTGCTAAAATGACTTTATAACTCATGATACATTGGTGTGATAGTCAGAGGTAAATGCTCCTTACTCTTGTGGTCACTGGGAAGAATTACCCCCTTACAGATTGCTAAAAAGATCAATGGTGTCAGAGAGAACTTATCTGAGAGGCAAAATTGTTCAAGGAACCCCTGGCAACCTCTGGAGGAACCCTAGTTGAGAAACCCTGCTCTAATGTATGGCCACGTTTAGTATGGAAAGTAGAGCATTTTACCCACCATTTCGAGACACCCAAAATCCTTTGTCATTGAGCAAAATGAGGGTGATGCCTACCTTTCTCGCCTGCTTTCGAGAATGTAATTTTTTGCATGGCCACAGGTGCCATTTAGAACAATTCAGGTATGACTTAAAACAAATTGGGGCATTTAGGACCACTGGGTTAAAGCGGTTCCAGAAGTGATTAAAGGATTGAAGTTCTAGAATCCGTTCACATTTTGTTTGACATCCTCCTCCCAGGTTTTCCTACGGAGATGAAGACCAGGATTTCTATGCCACCCTAACGGAGACCCAACACTCAGAGTTAGTACAGCTCTCATGTCGAGCCCATCCAGACCATGGAGGTCTTGTCTAAACTCCTTTTTCCCCCCCAATTAACCTGGAATGTCTTTAGCTAATAATGGTGATGGGTTTCGAGAGCCTCTTCCTTTCTAATTAGATGAAGAAATACATTTTCTAACATAATGCCTTATTCTGATTTCTTCACTTGTATCTTTCTTTTTGGTGTTGGTCACAAGTACACTTGGGAAGCTTATGGTGATCAGATTAACCGGTTTTCTGTTTCTTGAATATCCATCAGGCCTGTTAATTGATATAAACTGTTAAACACATCTACGCAGCTCTTTGCACCATATTGCAGCTCCAGCTTTTTATGCCTTCCTAAATAAGCCTGTATGTATCTAATTAGAGATCTTCTTTTTTTTCAATATCTTTTATTTGAAGCTAAAATTGTGTTAAGCTACAGGCTCATTCAGTAAGGCCGTGTGAGCAGCAAGCTCAAAGGTAAAGTGCAGTAAGCTGTCAACTGATTGCTAATGTTACTGTACTTTACCATCTGATATTTGACTTGATCAGGAAACTTCAAGGATCTGTCCATCCATAACTGATGTTCGTCATCGGTAGAGCATAGTGATCGGATTCTCCTCCTGCATTTTTTTTTTTTGTCTTGGTATACTCCACTGGTGAAACCTCTTTCCCACAATTCTGTCCACTTGGGTGTTCCCGCCTACCATTTGTGTGCCTAAGGTCCTCCTTTTCCATTCTCTCGTGTAAAATAAATAAATAAATCCACTAGGAGGAACCCTTCATAATGGCCTGCAGGTGTGCCAACTTGGATATCTAAAGCAGTATTATACCCCAAACCAAAATGTAAAATATTGGCGTATAATATTAGCGCTTATCAATCATTAGATGTGATGGCTGCATTAACTCTCTTTTCTCAGTATATTTCCCTGTGTTTTCATTTGGTGATATGGTCAGTAACCCAGCTTGTTTTATAGTACCCCCATTCTGGATGAATGCACACAGGGGGGCACCCTTGGCACATGGAAGGAAAATAGATTTTAAAAATATTCTTCCCAAATATATTGACATATATTTGAAATACTACAATTCTGGCCATATTCAATATATTTCAAAATATATTTCAATGGAAAAAAAAGGGTATGTATGTGTGTGTATATATGTGTGTATGTATATATAATGTTGAAATGCGTTTTTATTACAAAATATTTTTAAAAATACATTTTTGGAATGCATTTACAAATATATGTAAAAATATGTTAAAATGACTTTGTTATGTTCAAAAAAATCCTGAATATAATTAAAAAAAAAAAAAAAATTTAAATATTTTTCATATATTTTGTTATACATAAAAAAATGCATTTCAACATGCAGTGTATGTATGTATATGTGTAAATATATATCTCCAAAATTGTAGTGTTTCAAATATGTGTCAGTATATTTGAGAAGAATATTTTTTAAATATATCTAAAATATATTTTCCTTCTATGGGGGGGATTGGGGGGGGATTTTACATAAATAAAGGTTGGTCGTTGTAAGCACTCCTTTCAGTGCTAAATTGTTTGTCTCATCTCTGTAACTGATACATTCAGCTTGAGAGCTTGGTCTTTTAAAAAACAGACTTGCTGACTGGATCACCAGATGAAAATGAAAGCCCAAAAAAGAAAACAAATGTAGCCGTCACATCTAATGAATGGTAAGCTGCAATATAATAAAGCGGTAATAAACCCAAAATCAAACATTTAAGCGCAGAGATCTCACCAACAGAGTCTCCGAGATGAGAGGGGGTGGTTGAAGGTTAAACCTCTCCAGCATCTACCAAAATCTGAAATATCTGTTTTTAGGTGGACTGACCCTTTCATTTCTCTCCGTGTTTTGGAATGTTTTCATTGCTCTTGGAAGTTTTAATAACGTGTGTGTTTTTGCAGTGGTGCAAAGGACGATACATCTGAGTGGTCGGAAGATGAAAGCCCCAGAAAGTCCCTGGACAGTAATGGTCGGGAGGCGTCACAGGTAGAGGGCGTGCGTGTGCGGGCTCTGTATGATTACTCTGGACAGGAAGCTGACGAGCTGAGCTTTGTGGCAGGTACAGAGCACTAACCTTCCCTTAACAACCCTTCCTTATTCCTCTCCACAGGCACGCCTCCCCTCCCCCACATCCTCTCCCATACCTCCATCCCCTGGTCAGGCCATAGTGCATGAATCTGACTACAGGCAGAGCATGCAGACTGGCACCTGTGCATGAATCCTCCTTTGTGCTACCCCCTCCATCACCCATCAATGCACCATTAACGTAACACTAATTCCAGCGTGAACAGGGTCATGTCTCTGAGAAATGCTCCAGAAAGCCCTTTGTGTAATGGGGATGAACAAAGGCCTTTGTATGGAAGTATGTGTAGAGTTCTGGGGACTGACCCCCCAACTTCAGCACTGCGTAAGTTCTTTCCACAAATCTTGCACTCTATACTAAAACTCTGATTTCTGCAGCTTAAGTCATGCAGATTTTTGCTTAGCAGCTGGCAGTATTAATCCACCAGAGCACCCAACTACAGGGATTGTGTGACTTTGAAAGCTGCAAATGTACATGGTAAGGATTTTATGTCTGTTCTTTCCTTAGGGGCAATACTTGAACTAGGTTCTTCACTCAAAAAATGTACTTTAGCTTTTGTAAAAATGCAGGAAGAGAGTTCCTAAAATACAACCCCTGGCAAAAAGTATAGAATCACCTATCTTGGAAAATGTTCATTCAATTGTTTGTGTAGAAAAAAAAACAATCGCATACATTTATTTTTTTTCATTTATTTCAGGTACTTTTATAGTGCAGTCAATTTACGCAGCACTTTTACATATGTAGGTGTACCTCGGTTTACAAATTTAATGTATTCTCGGGGGCGTTTCATATTGAGAAAAATTTGTAAACCGAAACGTGGTTTCCCATAGGAATGCACTGAAAACCAATTAATCCATTTCGGAGGTCAGAAAAAAGTAAAAATAAAAAGTCACTGTCACTATAGGTCAGTGCCGGTTTTTAAAAGTAATTACCAGCTTTTTTTTTTTTTTTTTTTTTTTCACTATAGCTCACAGAATCAGCTGTCACTTTCTCACCAGCTAAAAAAGAAAGTTTCTTTTTAGTTTATTTCCCTGAGTTAAAAGAAACAATGTTTCCTTTAGCTCCAGGGAAAGTGACAGCTAATTCTGTGACCTATAGTGAAGAAAAAAAAAAGCCAGTAATTACATTTAAAAATCGGCACTGACACACACTTCGTATTGCGAAACAAATTAGTAAACCAAGACATTATTTTCAATGGATTTTCATTCATAAACCGAAAATTACATTAACCGAGGTGCTCATAAACTGAGGTACACCTGTATATTGTACATTCACATCAGTCCCTAACCCTCAAGGGGTGTACAATCTAAGGTCCCTAACTCACATTCATACATACTAGGGACACTTGACCTCAAAACTATTTTAATTAACCATTCCAGCCTTCTGGCTTTAAGAAACATTTAAAAACATAAAAAAGAAAGTAAACTGTAGTCCATTGCAACTGTTTTTGCAGAGGAAAAAAATATGGAATCACTTCATTCTGAGGAAAATAATATGGAATCACCATGTACTTTTCAGTTCTAAAACAAACTCATGCATCACATTACAACTGCTAAATAGTCTGCTGTTAAAGAGTGCTTTCACACCTTGGTGAGCTGTTGCACCAAGCTGATTTACATGAATCATGGCTCCAACAAGAGGGATGTCAGTTGAAACATAGGAGAGGATTATAAAACTTCTTCATGAAGATATATCATCACGGAATGTTGCAAAATGTTGCTTGCTCCCAGTCAGCTGTGTCTAATATCTGGACAATGTACAAATCAAATGGAAAGGTTGTAAAAGAAGCGTACTGGTAGACCAAAGAAGACATCAAAGCATCAAGATAGAAAACTTAAAGCAGTATGCCTTGAAAACAGAAAATGCACAATAAAAGAAATGAGGAACAAATGGGCAGAAACTGGAGTGACCGAACTGTAAGACATAGCCTAAAGGAAATGGGATTTACATACAGAAAAGCCAAACGAAAACCATCATTAACCACTTGCCTTCCTGAGGATTTACCCCCCCTTCTTGACACTTTTTGCATTACGGCGTTGCACTACTTTAACTGACGATTTCGTGGTCATGCAACGCTGCACCCTAATGAAATTTGCGTCCTTTTTCCCCACAAATTGAGTTTTCCTTTGGTGGTATTTGATCGCTTGTGTGTTTTTTTTTTTTTTTTTTTTTTATTTTTTTTTATTTTTATTATATAAAAAATTTTGAGAAAAAAAAACATATCTTTGACTTTTTGCTATTAAACATGTCCAGTAAACAAAATCTAATTTCGTCATAAATCTAGGCTAAAATTTATTCTGCTCCATGTCTTTGCTAAAAAAAAAAAAAATCCCAATATGTGTAAGTTTATTGGTTTATGTGGAAGTTATAGCGTTTACAAATGGCAGTATAGATACTGTAATTTTTTTTTTTTCTTAACTAGTAATGGCTGCAATCAGCGACTTATAGCGGGACTGCGGTGGACATTCTGACACTGGGGAGAACTGACTTTGTGACACTGACATCCCCTGTGACACCAATACAGTGATCCGTGCTAAACAAAAAAGCACCCTCACTGGGCAGGAAATGGTTAACATGAAGGGCAATCAAAGGGCTAACTGTGTTATGTTTAACTGTAAGCTCTGTTTGTGCACTTCACTGTAATCACACTGCTTTGGATGGCAGTTCTGTGCACAGCCATCCAAGGCAGTGTGCAGGAGCTGACAGGGAGGAGAACTGTATTGTTTACATACAGTTCTCCTCCCCGTCAGAGATGCTCGACAATCACCGGCCGGCACCCAGTGATTGACGGCCACAAATGGCAGCGCAGGTAGGGCACATGCCCACTTCCTACCCGTAATTGCAAAGTCACGTATATATACACGAGATTTTGCGCACTTGTGCCACCCAGTAGAAGTATATCTACTATAGAGTTGTTGGGAAGCAGTTAACACCGAAACAGAAAAAAAAAACAAAGGTTGCAGTGGACTGTGGATAACTGGATGAAAGTGATATTCAGTGATGAATCAGGAATCTGCATGGGGCAGGGTGATGATCCTGGAACTTTTGTTTTGGTGCCATTCCAATGAAATGTACAAAGATGACTACCTGAAGAAAACATGAACATTTCCACAATCATTGATGATATGGGGTTGCATGTCAGGTAAAGGTACAGGGGAGATGACCGTCATTAGATCTTCAATAAATGCTCAAGTTTATATTGAGATTTTGGACACTTTTTCTTTGCTCCATCAATTGAAAGGATGTTTGGTGATGATGGCATCCTTTTTCAGGATGATAATGAATCTTGCCATAGGGCAACAGCTGTGAAAACTTTCCTTCAAGAAAGACATATAATGTCAATGGCGTGGCCTGCAAATAGTACAGACCTCAATCCAATTGAAAATCTATGGTGGAAATAAAAGAAAATGGTCCATAAGACTCCAACCTGCAGAGCTGTTCTGGCAACTGCAACGAGCGAAAGTTGGAGCCTGATTGATGAAGAACACGGTTTGTTAATAGTTAAATCCATTCAGAAAATTCAAGTTGTTATAAAAGCCAGAGGTGGTGCAACAAAGTACAAGTGGTGTACTGTAGTGTTTTTCTTGTTTTTTTTTTTTTTTTTTTCATGATTCCACAATATATTTCTCCAGAATTGAGTGATTCCATATTTTTTCCCTCTGTTTGATCTGCAAAAACAGTTACAACTGGCTACAGTTTTCTTTTTTTTTCTTTTTTTAAGTGTTTCTTAAAGCCAGAAGGTTGGAATGTTAAATGAAAATAGTTTTGAGGCATGTCTGTGATTTTAGTTGTTTTTTTTTTTTTTTTTCTTTTTACACAATTAAACAGTTGCATGAACATTTTCCAAGAGTGGTGATTCCATACTTTTTGCCAGGGGTTGTACGTCAGCTCAGTCTTTCTCAAAAAAGGAGACAACTCCCCATTTACTTTGCTATGATGCTTGGAGAATTCAGGGTAGATAACCAGGTCAAAGCTGCGAAACACAGAATCAATGGAGGTCAAGGGCTCCCGAGGGGATGTAACTGGATCAGAGAACAGTGCTGAAAAGATCTAGGTTTTAGTGACTAACATGTGATGTGCCCCCATGTCTCTGTGCCAGATCCAGGGCTGCAGGGTTGTTGGTAAGTAACTGAATAGCACTTCAGGTGTATATATGATCTTTGGAAAATTTCTGGGTAGCAGACCATCTTGACAGGACCCTCTGTGACTAGCCAAAATCTGAGGATAAGGGGCCAATCTGTTTTTGACCCCCATACAAGAATGGACTTGGTGCTGTTGTAGTGATCCCCACCCTGTGCTGTGGGGGCCCCCTACTTCCTTGACTTTAAAAAGGGAATTCCTGCCTATGCATCCCATCAGGAAACCTGAATCAATCCTTTTTAAAGGATGGTCACTGCTGACATGCCTTTTAAAACAAATCTTTTGTTCCTGTCCTTCATATACCGGAGTTTGCTGGAGTGTCAACTCCTTTTAGCACATTGATGGCTTTTAATTGGTCTGCACTTGCAGCCAATCAGAAGCATATTACATAGTCACACTTCCTGCTGGAGAGAGGGCTACCCACTAAGCTCTTACAGTTGGAGAATGTTTTGAGAGATTATACATTTGTAGTCATAATAATGGTGTGTATAGGCAAGGAAATTCTTATTCGGTGATTCCTTTTTTTTTTTTTTTTTTGGGGGGAATAGGTTGAAAACCCAACTACAGTTAAAAAAAAAAACCTCTGGTGTGGAAAAAAAGTTGCACTTGTATGTAGTGTGGTCTCCACTGCATTGCATGGATTAAATGCTTTGGGAGACTGGTTGCATAAGATAAGTATTTCACCTGAATCCTACACCTCTAGTCACAACAAACAAATTGTGGAGGGGACCCCACTGCAAGAATAATGGTTTTTGTGTTCAACTTTAGAGTCCATTCACACTTGCGCAACTTGCCATGTGACTTTGGTGTCCAAAGTCACGTGACAACTATTGAGCGAAGTCCCTAATTGTAAATAATCATCTTTGGCAAATAACAAATCTATACTGGACGAGGGTGCGGTTTCCCTACACACCATTTGTCCAATTGATGAATCTAAGATATATAACCTTTATTCAAATATATAAAAAATGTATGCTCAGCTGTAATTAATGCCTATTGGAGTGGAATGTACTGCGCACGACAATATAACTGAATACCATTGCAATTATTTACCTTACATCCAAATGGTTAATAACACCTGACCAAATCAAATACCGTACCGTTTTAGATGAAGTGACAGCATACAAAGAGGCACTGTAGTTTGATCCTAAGCCTATCAGCTGGAATATATGAGGAAATGGAGTTACCCCATGGACAAAACCAATTGGTATAATGCAGTGTTTCTCAACTCCAGTCCTCATGGACCCCCAACAGGTCATGTTTTCAGGATTTCCATTATTTTGCACAGGTGATTTGATCAGTTTCACTGCCTTAGTAATTACCACAGCTGTTTCATCTGAGGGAAATCCTGAAAACATGACCTGTTGGGGGTCCAGGAGGACTGGAGTTGAGAAACACTGGTATAATGGATAAGCCCCATACATCACCATATTCAGTCAAAAATACCTCACTGGCTTGAGGAATGCAAATGATGCACTGTAAAACACAGTACAGACCTCTCAAAAAAAAGTTGTACCCCTATGTTTCCCAGTGAGTACCATTCCAATGTGTGTGACTTGAAAGTAGTTCCTGCACTACTTTGGTATGAATTTTACAGTGAATGTAAAATCGCACCAAAGTTGCACTTCAAGTTGCACGATTTTGGAGATGCGCTTATGTGAATGAAGCTTTTAGGTTGGCCATACATTAAGCAATTTTCTTTTCAACCACTGTGCTATTGTATTCTGACATTGGGAGGTTTCCCTGCAATGAATACAATGATTACAGCTGCCAGCTATAGATGGTTGCAGTAATCGTATAAAAAAAATAAAAGCTGACAGGCTGGTTGTACTGAAGTCAGTTGATCAACTTCACTACATCCAGCCTGCCCATCAAATTTCAGTCATCAGTGTATGACTGGTTTAAAGTAGAACTATAAGCAAAAAGGTTTTTTTTTTTTTTTTTTTTTTTTTATTTTGGATAAAGCAAGGTAGGGTTATAACCCCTATCAGATGCTTTTTTTTCACCATCTGTGCCCCATTTCGGAGATTTCTCTTTACTTCCTGTCCCATTGCCAAACAGGAAGTGAGGAAATCCCTGCAAATTCAGGGAATTACTTGAGGACCCCCAGGGTCCCCAGAGCTACTGTCCCTATTGGAAGTTTTCCCCTCTATTACTTTTCTGGGGGAAAACCCAAATTTTGGGATTTTCTTTACTATTATCAGTGAAAGTAAAACGGGACAAATAGAGAGGGTGACAAACTGATCGGGCTCTGATGTTTCTTCTTCAATTGCTTTGTTACTGTAGTTTTTTGAAACTTTGTAAGGAACATCTATTCATTGTTCATCTTGGTAGTACTGCTATGACTTTCAAATGAGATGTATTATCTCGAAGGAATCCACTTTGGGACCGTCCTCTTCTTCTTTTTTTTTTTTTTTTTTTTTTTTTTTTTTTTAACAAGGAGTTGAAAATTCTTCCTTTTTTAAATGATTACAGCTGTTTTATAAAGGAAAATTTTAACTATCAGGTAAGTGAATCTATCTTAATGATGATGCAAAAAAAAAAAAAAACAAAGTCTACAAAACTGTTTAAATGCTAAATCTAAATAAAACTGATGTTTTATTGTTGGGTAGATCCAAACTCTTTGAAACCCCTAAGATATTATACCTTTTATACCTGGTGGTAGAATTAATTTTGGTCCAAAGAAGCCTTGGATTCAAAGTGTACATTCCTCATTACCTTGACTCCGAACTGGAGGACTGCCGGGTTCACTGAAGTTGCTTAGATGGTTAACCAAGAAAACTTGTAGGCATCATAAGGTACCTATACATTTGCAAAATTTTTAGCCTGTGCACATTGGTGGACCTCATGGCTTCCCTTCATTGCAAACCTGTGCTTTGCTTTAAACCCCCTATCCCTAGTGGTATACTTACTTTGTTCCTCTGATTCATTCAGCACCAGGTGCTGAACAAAATACCTGATATGTTTGAGTAAAGAGGACTCCTTCCCTGTGACGGCTCTGAGCCAATACCAGACAGGTTTTTATTGTTGGCGTGCAAAGAAAAAAAACACTAAAAGCAGAATGTATGAAGCACCAGATTTAATTGTGTTTAGTTTTGTGTACAGCATGCATAAGGGATTCAGAGTATCCCCCCTTTTCAGAGTATCCCCCCTTTTCAGAGTATCCCCCCTTTTCAGAGTATCCCCCCTTTTCAGAGTATCCCCCCTTTTCAGAGTATCCCCCCTTTTCAGAGTATCCCCCCTTTTCAGAGTATCCCCCCTTTTCAATTAATTTATACTCTTTTATAAAGTAAATTTGTACAAAACACAGCTTAGTGGGCATACCCAGGCGTAAAGGATAAGTTCACCTTTAGACCAAAAATAATAAATGCAAATATTTTTGCAGGTAAAAAAATGTGCATTTATTATTTTTGGTTGCAGGAGCCTGTAAAGCATGGCATCATCGATCAGCAGATCAGTGGTGTAATACAGGTCTCCTGCAGACCTGTCAGTATATCTGCTTGCCCGTATGGGATGTACGGGAAGCAAAAATACTGACAGAATCCATTAACTACAACGGCGCTCCACAGTGCCGTGGTAGTTCATTGAGAACTACAAGCCAACAGCCGTTATAGCTGTTGGAACTTGTAGTTCATTCATTCACAGAACTCTTTGAATAGAGTGTGGCCTTGCGTGGCTCTGCCCAAATGGCCACGTCATTCATTTACAAAGTGACCGCTTGTATGGGGAACTTCTCCCTGTACTGTTACAGGGAAGAGGGGGGATCGAGAGGCAGCTGCAGCATGGGAAACATGTTACATGTTCCACCCTAAAAACGGGTGAAACCTGTTCCCAAGAGTGAACTCATCCATTAAGGTACCAGAAAGAAAGGAAAAATCAAGGTGTTAACAGTTGTCAAGCGAAGACCATATACTTTAAAGGAAATATAAATAAAGCTTCCAGTAAGACCTTGTTACTCACTCTCTGAAGGGGAAAAGCTGGAACGATTGAATGAAGTGCATACCAAACTGCTAAAATTGGAGGGATCCTCAATTTGCTTACCTGGCATCTGGAGCAATCATACGAATTATCCCTCAGGATCCCTCTAATTTAATCAGTACTGTTGAACAAAGCATATAATGGACTAAGTCCTGATGAAGGTTGTAGGTTTCTATTGTAAGTGAACACTGCTTCTAAAATACAGTTTGAGATTGACATGCCTTGTACATCCATCAAAAATTCTGCACATACTCCCAGGCTAGCCGGGGCTGGCCTTGTACTGTCAAACCCACGATTTTGCAATATATGACTTGACTTTACCCCGATTTGTTTCTTTTTTCACTTTTTAGGGGAAGAGCTCGTAAAACTAGGCTCAGAAGATGAACAGGGCTGGTGCAGAGGACGCCTCCTCTCCGGGAAAATCGGACTTTATCCGGCAAACTACGTGGAGGATGTTGTGTCCTGAGACTTGACCAAGCCTTGCGTTTCCATTAAGCTGTGTGCGCGTGTGGCCTGAGTAGTCGTGAAGACTGGGGCAAACTTATGAACATTGGATCCTAATAGTGAATCCATTGCTGCTTTTACCATTTTATTTTAGACATGCAGTTATTTCTTTTCTTTTTTTTTTTTTTTTTTAATTTTTTTTTTTCTTAATAAAACAACCAGAAGATATTATATCTGGATGTTCTCAGCAGCATTATGAGAAATAAAGGGAAAGTTCACCCAAAACTGAAATTTTAGTGATGGGAGAATGCTAGAGGAGTGACTCCAGTGTGTCTCTATACTGTATAACTCACTCAAGCAGTGAGAGATCTCTGCTTGAGTTCCCAGCTCTGCCTTCCCGCCATGGTTGATGAGAAGCCTCACGTTGGCCACCATATTCTTCATAAAGATGATGGATAATACAGCAGGAGTAACGATATTCCTTTTTGTTTCTATAAAGTGGCCGGGGCAGCTCTCTTACCAAAGGAAATAAATGAGTGGGCATCTAAGACCACCTGTATCCACCAAAAACTAAGATCCAGTTTTGGGTGAATTGACACTTTAAAGTCATTCAAGGGTGTAAATACTTAGTTCTGGGATATGGAGGATGTTGAAAAAGTTGAGAAATTTCCAAAAGCATAAAGATCATGCTAAACGCCATTATAATTGGTGTCAACATACCGTCCTCTTAAGGTTGTGACCTGTAACGATGTATTATCAGATATGTAAACGCCAAATGGATAAAGCCCACGGGTGCCAGCCTCTTTGCCCTTCATGTCAGGGATTAAGCTGTAATGCCCTATATGTCCAAGTTTGCGCAGCTAGCGAACAACTTTGTGAACAAATGGACAACTTTAAAGGCCGATGCCAGAGTTCAGTTTTGTACAGTTACTGGCACACGTACTTACTGGCTTCTTGTATATCTTGGGGACTCCAGTTTAAAGGTATCCCATCTAGAATTTCAAATCCAAGTCAAAAAAGAGGCCATTACAAAGCCAAAGTTACACGTCTGGGATAAGGTAGAATAAAGACATAACTAAGAAATCCAAAAGAGCCGACAACTCCTTTTTATGTCCTCATTAGTGGGGACACTTAAATTACCGTCCTCAATGGACTTTCTAGAAGACATACTGAACTAGAATATTCCACTTACCGATGCCAACCCAAAACTGAAATCCACGTTGGATGGTGTTGGCCTTTAAATTTCCCACCTTAGCACAGCAAACACCTTGTAGTCTGTTACGAAGGATTTTTAGTTAGTGTACTATTGCCTTGGTTGCTGGCAGAATTGGAAATGCATTGATCTACAAAGTGTCTCCAGTCTCTGGTAGCCAATGGATTTAAAGGATTCCCAAATAGTTTTTTTGATTTTAGTATTTTTTTTTTTCCTGATATAATTTTGGGATAATGATAGGTGTCTGTTACTTATTAAATGTTGAGATTGGAATGATTTATTCGAAAAACTGTTATTGAAGAATAACTCCTCCGAGTGTGTTTTCTCGCTCGGTCAGTGGTCAGGTATTTGTCTTTTGATAACCCCCCACAATTCAGGAAGCCAATGAGATTAGCATGAGGCTTTTAGAAGCACTTTTTATGCTGGTGAGACACACGAGTAGGAAGATTCAATATTGTGCCATCGCATCATGCAAGTGACCTTATTGTGAAAAATGTATTTTGTATTTAAATAATAATAAAAACCATATTGTTTTTATCCACAGTTTTCATTTGCTTTTTGTGTCTCCTGAGATCCTACATGAATGGTGTGAATGTGAAAGATTCTGGGCAATGTGTCCTTTAAAGAAGTAATATACATTATATGGCCCAAATGAGCTTTCTGGCCATCGCATTCCTAAATTATGGGACCCCGCCCCCTATTTTGCGGATGTAACCTCCTCCACCCTTCTGGGAAGATTTTCACAAGGTTTTGGAGTGCGTCTTTGGGAATTTGTGCCTACTTAGCCAAATGATCATTTTGGATATCCGGAACTGATGTTGGATGAGAAGACCTGGCTTGCAGTCAGCGTTCCAATTCATTCCAAAGGTGTTCAGTAGGTTTGCGTTTAGGGCTCTCAAGATCCTCCACACCACACTCCTGAAACCATGTCTTTACAGATTAAGTTCACCTTTCGTTAAATGTTAGACCCTGAATATGGGTGTAACATATTACAAACTGGCCCCACACCCCCCCCCAATCCCCATTGTGACAGCTAGCAAGGGGATCTTCTCCCCCATTTGGAAACTCGGGCACTGCCCGAGGGCCCAGGGTCAGTAGGGGGCCCCATGAGATGCCCCTGGTACCTTTTTCATAGGCTTTTTTGAGTTTGGGCAAGGACACAGGGGCCCCATGATCCCCTATTGCCCAGGGGCCCCATGAGTTGTCAGTCCGCCCCTGCCTCCGCCCCACACTATTGTCCTCTGCCCTCTCCTCGCATCACAAATTCCCCCTCCCCCCCCCCCCCCCCCCCCCCCCCCCCCCCCCTTTAAGAGTAGTGTTTTCTGCCCTCCACATCAACCCTCCCACAGCACTGCCCCCCCCCCCTTTACATCACCTCTTTGCAGCAAAGCCCCCCATCACAGCACTTACATCACCCCATCACAGCTCTTCCCCTTTTACATCACCCCACGACCACATGCACACAGCACTGCCCCTCTGTTTACATTTTGCACCCCCCCCTATACATCACCACATCACAGCACTTCCCCTTTTAAATCACCCCTCATCCTGTACATCACCCGACCACCACATGCACACAGCACTGCCCCTCTTTAAATTTTGCCCCCCACCCCCATTTACATCTCACACACATCCAGAGTGATGTCCCTGGCCCCCCTTCACTCTCCTACCTTAGAGCGGAGAGCAGGAGGCAGAGCATTTCTGGATCGGGTGTGGGAAGCACAGCACATTGAACAGACCTGCTTCTCCCCCCCCCCCCCCCCCATCCTCTTCCTCTGCGATAACAGCAGAGCGGACAGCAGGAGACAGAATGTTTCTGGAGTGAGTGTGGAATAACCGCACAGTATTGAACAGAGCATGGGAGCTATCCTAACATTTCTGGATCACATGCTGGAAGCACACCATTGAATTGAACACGGGACGGCGGGGGTTAACTTTTTACTTTGACCAACAGGTGATTGGCTGCTAGGACTGCCCTGCGTCCAATCAGCCGCTGGTTAACTTAAAAAGTTAACCCTGGCAGCTCCCGCACTCTTTTCAGTGCTGTGCTTCCCGCATCCGATCCAGAAATGTTATGACAGCTCCCGTGATCTGTTCAATATTGTGCTGGTATTCCACACTTGCTCCAGAAATATTCTCCTGCTGTTATAACAGTGGTGGAGGATGGGGAGAAAGAAACCGCTCCTAAATGGTGTGACCGGAACCAGATGAAACAGTGGCTAGGTCCGCATCCGGACCGCGGTCCGCCATTTATTGATGCCTGCCTTAAAGGATACATTCACATTTCAGGCTATGTGGCTGTCTGCTTGTAGTCCTCAATGAACTACCGTGGTGCTGTTGAGCACTGTGGTGGTTCATTGATTCTTCCTGTTGGTTTAAAATGATCTGCCTGTATGAGATACGAGCAGATTACACTGACAGTCTGCAGGAGACCTGCGTGGCACCAGCGATCTGATCACCAGTGCAATTCGTTCCAGGCTCCTAAAATAAAAAATAGTAAGTCCTCATGCACACTGGACGTTTTTACAGCGGCTGTTTTTTGGCTTTTTAGGTTTTTTTTTTTTTTTTTTTCTTTTCTACAGCCAGTAAACTTCCCAGCATGTTACTCTGTGTCCATGCACACATAGACTGTGATCAACGTTTTTTGGCTGGAAAAACCCCCCAGGACTAGTAGGTTTCTAGAGGAGTTTTTTTTTTAGCTGTAAAACACACTCTAACGCTGAAAAATGCGGTAAATTGCGGCAAACCAGCATTTTTGGATGTTTTTTTAACTTAGAAAAAAAATTATGCAGCATTGTGAACTGATACTTTTTAAATAGCATTCAAGGATGTATAAGAATGTGTATAAAGCCAAACTCCATACAGATGTAATGTTTTTGTGTAAAATGTATTAAACACAAGCAGTGTTGTGTAGCTGAATTTAGATTGGTTTCAAGTTCTTGTATTGTTTTGTACTGCAGAGCTCAGTGTTAAAGTAGTGTTACTAGGCCCCGGACCCTGCATTTACTATATCTGGTCCCCCACAGTACACAGAACATGAAAATGCAGTTAATTTAGTAAATGTAACTGCTGCTGAGAAAAGGTTTATAGCGGTCTTGTGAACTCTATTATTATCCAGCTGAGCACTGGTTAGAGCATGTAGAAGTTTTCATTTTCCCCTTATTGTCCTATGAGACTGCAGGACCCCTGACGTTTTGTCTGGACAGCGCTGATTGGCCCTGTGCTGATCACATGCACTCTCCCAAGAGAAAAAACAACTTTCTAGCAATACACACCAAACTGAGCATATGCAGCTTGCCCCCCAGGCTCTGTTCTATCAGGAAATGGATTGGGGACAGTATAAGAAGGGGAGGATTAGAGAAGACCGGATCAAACATCCTTTTTACACAATGCATAGGATTAACGCCTTAGGTTCCACAGTGAGTATAACAAGCGTGCTTTACTGCATATACAGACTGTCTCTTAAAGTGTTACTAAGCCCATAGCAGTAAAATCAGTTGTTCTGCAGTGCTCATTTATTGACAAGGAACATGCTGACTGGGAGAGAAGGTAGAGTGACAGAGCATTGAACTGCTGCTGTGTCTATACTGTCCATTCACAGGCTGGGACAGGGGTGTGGGGGTAGGATTCTTCACTTATCTACTGAAGAGAAAAGTCAGGTCTCTGGTTTGGCTGTGCTGTACGAAGTACAGTGAAGGAAATAAGTATTTGAACCCCTGCTGATTTTGAACGTTTGCCCACTCACAAAGAAATGATCGATCTACATATCGAATGTTCGGTGTCTTGTAACACTGAGAGACAGAATAGCA